CCAATGATTTTCTTTAGGACTGAATGGTTTGATCTCCTTGTTGTCTAAGGGACTCTCACGAGTCTTCTCCAGCACCACACACGCACAAAAGCCTTCATGAGGTCAAAAAATCAGAGGATAATGCCAGGCCATAATGAGTCTTTGGCCACCTGGTGCGAAGAACCAACTCTGGAAAAGACCCTGATGCTGGGAAAGATTGAGGGCAGGAGGAGAAGGGGACGACAGAGGGTGAGATGGTGGGATGGCGTCACCAACTGGATGGACATGGGTTTGAGCAAACTCTGGGAGATAGTGAAGGACAGGGAGCCCTGGCGTGCTGCAGCCCGTGAGGTCACAAAGACTCAGGACTTAGTGACTGAACACACACAATATTGAATAATGGGTCTTGTTTCTCCCAGAAGCCTGCACTTTGAGATTCGTCTCAGCTGAGGGGTGCACGTGCCCCCCAGGGGAGGGTCCCAGGGTAGGTCAAGTGTGGAAAAAGAGTCAGATCATTGGCTAAAGGTAAACAGAGACCCAGAAGACCTGTCCTGTGTGAACGGCTTAACTGCCTCTGACTGCGCTCCTCCTCTCTAGACCACCACGTCCTGTCTCTCTGGGTGTGCCTCTGCCTCGACTGCACAGAACGTCTCTCTGTGCCTTCCCGTGTGTTGCCGTGCTATGCCTCTAACAATAAACTTTGTGCCTGCATTTACAGCTCTTGCCTTGGGGACTTCCCTCGTGGTTCACCTTCCACAGCAGGGGGCACAAGTTCGACCCCTGGTTGGGGAACTAATATCCCACCTGCCCCCTCCAAAAAAAAAAATCTACAAATAACAAACACTGAAAAGAGTGTGGAGAAAAGGAAACCCTCCTACACTGTTCGTGGGGATGTAAATTGGCACAGCCAGTATAGAAAACAGTATGGAGATTCCTCAAAAAATTAAACATAGAGCTGCCACATGATCCAGCAATCCCACTCCTGGGCATGTAGTCAGACAAAACGATAATTTGAAGAGATACATGCACCCCTGTGTTCGCAACAGCACTATTTACAATAGCCAAGACATGGATGCAACCTAAGTGTCCATCACCAGATCAATGGATAAAGATGTGGTACATACATACTATGGAATATCCAGTTCAGTGCAGTTCGGTTGCTCAGTTGTGTCCGACTCTTTGTGACCCCAGCAAAGAGTGGCCTGCAGCACACCAGGCTTCCCTGTCCATTGCCAACTCCTGGAGTTTACTCAGCCATAAAAAAGAGTGAAATAATGCCATTTGCAGAGATTCGGATTGACCTCGGGATTATCACACAAAGTGAAGTGAGTCAGACAGAGAAAGAAAATATCGTGTATCACTTACTTTACTAAACTATGACACAAACGGACATACCTATGAAACAAAACCGGAGTCACAGGCACAGACAGCAGACTTGTGGTTGCCACAGGGGCTGAGGGGTGGGAGAGGGGTAGACTGGGAGTCTCAGATTAGCAGGTGCAAACGGCTGTATATAGGACAGATAAGCAACAATGTTTATCCAACAATGTTTATCGCGTTGTTGAATGTGACTTGTGCAGAGCACAGGAAACTATATTCAATATCCTGGGATAAACCATAATGGAGAAGAATATGAAAAAGACTGCATATATGTATAACGGAATCATTTCGCTCTAGAGCAGAAATGAACCCAACACTGTAAATCAACAAGTAAAATAAACAAAAGATGATAGCTTACCACGACTTTCTTTTTTGGATACTGAGCTTTCTTTACATTTGACAGTGCCCTGGGGGAGAAGACAAGAAATGTACAAGAAGGCAAAGATAACTGGAGGCAAAGGAGCAGAGGATGTGGGTGTGGAGGGAAGATCTGGGAGGGAGGCTAGGAGGCCTTGTGAGGTCATGGGTGAGGACATGAGAGAGGAAATGACATTATATATAAAGGGGCTAAATGAAAATCAAGCGTCCAGGGGATCATCGGATGTTGCAGATCTCTGGTGTCCACGAAGCCCAGGAGTTTTCTGTAAACTCGCTGCTGTCAAGGTTGGTTTATGTAAATCAGCATGTGTGACTCCACCTCTGGCTTCACCCGTCAGTGGTGCTATCCTGGTGTGAGGGAGACTTTGACCTTGGAACTGATGGCCTTCTGTAAATGCAATGGGTTTTAGAGTTACTGCTTTATTTTCATTTTAATTCATCTGTACCTGTTACAATTTGGAAAGCAGCATGTGACTTGAGCCCTCCGTTTCCATTCACAAAACTTGGCTGTTACTTTTCAAAGGACTTTACAACATGCCTGGGTAGGCTTATAATTTTGCTAGAGAGTTATTGCTTTCCCTGCCCTTCAGTGACGCCCAAGAAGGTCAAACACACATATGAGAAGTAGAGAGAGCACAGTGGGCGAGGTGACACAGTGACAAGCATATTATTTTGGACATTAAACTATGTGTAAACAAATTTATATTTCGTAGTTATGTATGTAGGACTGGAAGACAACACCAAAATCCTATTAGTGGAATCATTGACATGTCTCTATTTCTTTTTTTAAAAAAATTCCTTTATTTAGTAAAAAAAAATAAAAAAATAAAAAATTCCTTTATTTATTTTTAATTCTTCTTTAAATTTTATTTTTAGCCGCTGTTAAAGAGCAGAGCACCATGCACTTGGGAAGCAGTTAGACGGAAGACACGAATTAGAGGCCCCCTGGCAGATCAGACAATGCCCCAGGAGCCTGTGTCTGCGGGGGCGGCAAGGGGCAGGCACGGCCCGCAGGCAGTCACCCACCGCAGGCGTGGGCGCTCTGCAGGGCCGTGAGTGAGAGGCGGTCAGTGGCCTGTGTGACACCCAGCCCCCTATTGATCCTGGCAGCTAAACTTCACCAGCTTGACGGTGTTCATGCATGGGACGACGTCAGCCTGGAATGAGCACAGCTTCCCCCTCATCAGGTGCGGCTGGCCATGGAAGGGACAGCTGTCTAAGCTGGCCTGGGACTTGGTGCGTGTAGTCCGGCCAAGCTCCACGTCCAAGAAGCAGTTCGTCCCCGACACGACCTGCTTGCGGGCGCGCACCACGCGCGTCGCGCGGCTCTGGTAAGCGTCGTGGCTGAACCCGCTGACCGCAAAGGACAGCGCCTCCTGCACGCCCTCCTCCATCAGGCCGCCCAGCGGGCGACTCTTTCCAGGGCCCTGCGCGGCCGCCGAGCTCACGGCCAGGGCCAGGGCGACGATCAGGGCGGCCAGCAGGAGCAGCGGGGAGCGCGGGGAGCCCACCGTGGTCTCTCGGATGCGAACACACTGCAGCCGAGGGGCGATCCCGGGTGCCAGCACCGCCCCGCCGGCCGCGGCGCCTTTAAGGCCGGGCCGCGGCGGACCGCCCCGCCCCTCCCACTTGGCCCCGCCTCTCCCGCCCAGTTGCCCCGCCCACCTAATTCTTTTTTTTAATTAAAAAATTTTGTTTCTTTTTTATACAGTACTTTCTGTGTTTCCCCCTTAAATGCTAAAAATAATACTTTAAAAAACCTTGTGCATAGTTCTGTTTGCTTTCCCCCACCTCCTCTTTCTTGCAGCTAACTGTATAAACTTGTCCCATATTTTATACATCACCAGGATTTTTTTTCCCATTTTTTTGTCTTAGTTCCCTTACCAGGGATTGAACCTGGGCCCCTGGTAGTTAAAGCCCCAGGTCCTAACCACTGGAACCCCAGGGAGTTTCCCACCAGGATGTTATTTTTTTCCTCACCAGAACTTTATCTCTTTGTACTCACAAATCCTCTCAACTTTCACACCCTTACTCCTATGACCTACTGACACTCAGTACTGTAAGACTGTTTAAGCCTTGGCTACTAGGCTATGTTATATATGTATGAATATTTATAGTCTTATTCATATTAGTAACTTTAGCAACATTTTAAGATGCTTTTGAATTTTCAAAATCAAATAATTTTTTAATATACTCAATTTCCCATTAATTATTTCCCTGCAATTCCTACAAGAATGTAAAAATACAGTTGATTGTATTGTAAAATAGCAAATTTTGCCAGTAATCAGTCACAAAACTTTGTGAAGACCAGCCAATGGTCCATGTATTGGTGGGGGTTTTAACACATTTACAATGGAAAGGTATGCATTCATGTGAGGAACTTGAAAACACACAATTAAAATCCTTTACATAAAACAAACAACTCATATATACACTAGTGAAACATATGATGATACTCTTCATAATAAAGCAGCAGCTCTTATATTTTCTGGAACACCAGATCTCCATCAATTACTGAGTCGCGCCCCCAGTTTCTGATTCAGTTGGTCTGAAACGGGATCCAGGACGGTTCATTTCTAACCAGCCTCCGGCTACTGCTGCTACTGAAGGACCAACATTTTGGAAATGACCCCATTAACACGAAAAGCGATTTTCTAATCTCACAGGCTAGGACAACCCACCTCAGTTTGAGCTTCGGGGTCTGCTGCAGAGTTAGCATGGTTATTTCCCATAAGAAGAGTTTCTGTTTGAACTTCACTCTCAAGCTCCTTGCCTTCTCATCTCTGAGCAGAGCTCAGATTCTTCCTTCCATGGAGGAAGAGGGGCTGGGTGAATCAGGCAAGCAGATTTGTGCAAGAGTCATCTCTTTGTTTCTTTTTTTTTTTTTAAGTTTAACCTTCTTTTTCTAATTTTTGTTTTACTTTTTGGTTGCCCTGGGTCTTCGGTGCTGTGAGCAGGCTTTCTCTCGTTGCAGTGAGCAGGGGCTCCTCTCTAGCTGCAGTGCGCAGGCTTCTCATTGCGGTGGATTCTCTAGCTGTGGAGCATGACAACTAGATGCTTGAGCGTCAGCAGGTGCGGCTCACAGGCTCCAGAACATAGGCTCAATAGTTGTGACTCACGGGCTTGGATGATCTGCAGCACGTGCGATCTTCTGGACCAGGAATCAAACTTGCGTCCCCTGCACTGGCAGGCAGATTCTTATCCACTGAGCCACCAGGGAAGTCCAGAGTCATCTTTTTCTTATTCCTCCAAAGGGATCTCCCCTATCTCCACTCTAAGTGAGAGTTCCTTGCCTTTCTCAACAGCGCCTGAAAGATCTCATCGTGCATATAAAAGAAGATATACCCAGTGTGAGGCCTAGCCTCCTGCATTACGGACTCTTGGATTTCTGATACTACTAGGTCATGGTATGTGAACCAGGCCTGCTTCTGAAAGTCGTAAGCATCGCTGATGTGCTGGCCTGAATCTGGGGGGCTCCTGAGATGGCTGATGACACGGATGAGCCGCTCGGTGTTTCCTTTCACCCTTCGGCTTCAGTTTCTGTGTCCTTCCTGTCTAAAATTCCAGGGTTCATGTCAGCACCCAAAGCAGTGAGGGAGTCCCTGTTATCATCTTTCTGATGCTCCTGGAAGTCCTCTGCTATGTGTTCCTGGGCACCCAGCTCCCTAATGCTTGGAGGTGATTCCTGTTGGGAGAATTCCTCGATGATTCTTTTCCAATTGTGCTGCTGCAGTTGTTCAGCCATGCCTTGAGATCTTTCTGGAATCCTGTTTCCATGAGCCTTATAAAACTCTTCAGTGGACTCCATGACACTGCCCACATCTAGCTCTATGAATGCATTGCTTGTCTCAGATTTCTTTTTTTTTTAAAGACATTTATTCAGCATCATGATCAGACTATTACATTTAGCAATCAACAGCATGGGTGCAAAAAAAAAAAAATCTACATTAAAACCCTTTGTTGGAATGCTTTACACTTTCCACAGAACAGAAACTAAAATAACCTGTTATACAATTAGTCACAAGTACAGTTCTCGATGTACACATACACATGAGTATTGTCTAAAACATGTCTTCTTTGTAGCAGCTAGGCCCTGCCACCACTGTGCTTGGCTGAGTTCACAGATCTGTTGTAACCTGTAGCTTCCCTGTCACTCCTCTGGCTCTCCTCTCCTGCTAAGCTCTGTTTCCTGGCAGTGATTAAAACCTTCTGCCACTGCCATAGCTACTGCTGCTGCTGAACCACATAGCCACCCTGGTTTCGTGGTTTGGCAAAGTACTGGCCTCCACCACCATAGGGGCCAGAACTTCTGCCTCCGAAGTTTCCTCCTTTCATGGGTCCAAAATTTGAAGATTGATTGTTGTAATTGCCAAAATCATTGTAGCTTCCGCCACCTCCAAAATTGCTTCCGTCATTACCAAATCCATTATATCCATCCCCACTGCCACCGTATCCGCCACCACCACGGCTGCCACCAAAGCCACCTCGACCACTGAAGTTTCCTCCACGACCGAAGTTGTCATTCCCACCAAAACCACCTCCACGACCACCACCAAAGTTTCCAGAACCACTCCGACCTCTCTGGCTGGATGAGCACTAGCCATCTCTTGCTTAGACAGGGCTTTTCTCACTTCACAGCCGTGGCCAAACCACAGTGTGGCATTTCTGAATGACAATCTTGTCTACAGAGTCACGGTCATCAAAGGTTACAAAAGCAAAGCCTCTCTTCTTGCCACTGCCTCGGTCAGTCCTGATTTCAATCACTTCAATTTTCCCACACTGTTCAAAATAATCTCTCAGGTGATGTTCTTCAGTGTCTTCTTTAATGCCACCAACAAAAATCTTTTTCACAGTGAAGTGGGCACCAGGCCTTTGAGAATCTTCCCTTGACACGGCCCTCTTTGGTTCCACAACTCCCGTCCACCTTGTGTGGCCTTGCATTCATGGCCGCATCCACCTCCTCCACCGCGGCGTATGTGACAAACCCGAAGCCTCTGGAGCGCTTGGCGTCTGGACCCCTCATTACCACACAGTCTGTGAGCGTTCCCCATCGCTCAGAATGGCTCCTCAGACTCTCATCGGTTGTTTCAGAGCTCAGTCCTCCGATGAAGAGCTTCCGCAGCTGTTCGGGCTCTTTGGGAGACTCTGATTTAGACATGACGGCAGTGGAGGCGGGGAAGTCTTCAATGATGCTTTCTCAGCGGCGTCCACGGGCAATCAGATTTCTTAAGGTCTGTGTCTTCAGGCATCTCTTGGAGCTGAGCCTCTCCAAGACTCGGTGTGGGCTGCTGGTAAGTTCACTTGCATCTTCGCAGATCATAAGACATGTGTGTTCTTGATCCATCCCTGAGTCAGCTGCTGGCAGTTCCTTTTCTGCCATTTCTGAAGCTGTTATGTTCTGTTTAGGACCGTTTTCCAGGTCTCTCTGCTGCTGTTCTTGGCTTGACCCTTCAACGATCTTCTGGAATGTTGGTGGTCCAGCATTCTTTGCCAAGGAATCGCTGGATTCTGAGAGCAACTTCTCCGAAGGTGACAATGGGGCGAGGATCTCAGAAACCATCTCTGGAGAGACTTCTAGCATCTTGGAGTCCCTGGGAGGTCTGTTACTGGCAGTAGGAAATGGTAACTTGGTGCTCTCACTGCAATGAGAACATGAGCTTAAAAATTTAGGAATAGCAACCGGTTGGTTATTCTTCACCAGCAACCAAGCATCGTTAAAGCCATAGCGTTTCAGATGGACGATGAGCACTCTGGGGAGCTTATTGAATCTGTGCATTGCAACAGCTGTCTCGTGGGTGCATTTGTTACAGCCGTACTCGAGGTCTTCTGCCCTAAAGGAAAGATCAAAAGAATTCTGAATAGAGGACGGTTGTAGTTTTGTTTCTTGGGGAGGGTTGATAGAAAGATAATGACTTGGCTCCATCTTGAGAATGACCTGTCCACAGGCTTTACAGGTAATGGAGTGCTGCAATTCAAACTCAAAGTTAGCCACAACGGGACAAACAAATGTCTGGCAGGCAGTGTTATCTGTATACATCTGCGAAGATGAATTTCTGTCCCCAGTTTCCCTGTCAGTCTTCAAAGCAATGTTTAATTTTTCCATGTCTTTTTTCAGCTGCTAAGCAGGACCCTAAAAACTCTTAAGCATTGTTCTGCACGTCGCCGGAGAAGGTCTCTGCAACAGCTGAAATAGCAATTTTAATATTGACAAGCAGCTCTTTCTTGCCCTCCAGGTTAGAAATATCTTTTAAAGCAAGCAGCTGGGTCAGCCACCTAGTAAAAGCATCAAAGGGAATTTTCTTCCACGATATGCCCTTCATGAGTAAGTCATCAGCAAATGAGGGAATCACAAACAGTGACTGTAAAATTGCATTCATGTAACAGGTGTTCCTCAGGTTGGGGAACCCTTGCCAGAATTGTTCTGGGTGAGTGTCAAGGTCATCCCATCTTAGGTCATCATGGCTATATATTTGTTCCGATGGAAACTCCAAACCTGTTTTGCAAGAGAGAGCCTGGATTGAAACAACAGTCTGAGCTAGATTGGCGTTTTCAGTAGAGATGGTCTTGCATGTAGAGCCACATGTTGAATTTCTAAGTTTTTCTTGACCTTCTGAATGCAATGGTTCATCCTTGTTACTTTCTGTATACTCAAAGGAATCTGTCTTCAATTTCTTGCTTAGTTCAGGGTTACTTTTTTCAGGGACCCTTCATTCATCTCTCGAGCAGGTGATAGCATTTTTTCCCTCTTTGTTCCTTGATTTTCTAAGAGTCCTGTTCTGGCAAGTGTTGCTGACTTGAACAAAGTCATCTTCAGAGGGGAGAGTTTCATTTGCTTTTTCTGTATTAAAGGGTCCATCACGGGGCTTGTCACGGACTTGGTGAGATGGAGTTTTGTCCATTTCCTTCTGTGTCTTCCTCCCACCAAAAACACCCCAATCACGATTGTGTTTCATGGGTGACTGGGGTTTGTTTTGACAGACCGTGTCCAGGAAGGCCTTTGACTGTTCGGCATCCCTGTAGGACAATTGGTCAGTGAACAACCAGCTGTTGTTTTGCAGAGTTAAATGCAGACAGCTTTGTCTCTCTCCACGATGTGTAACGCCCACACTTGTAATACTGTTACTGAGCTGAAGAACCCGGATAAATCCTTCAGAGTTGGAGATGACTGCCAGGCTGATTTCCTTCTCTCCTCCACTGTTTCCACAAGAGCTTCCCTCTCTTTAGTTAGCCTAGTCTTGCTCCAAATGCAAACAAAGCGGTGTATCTTTAGAGGACTCATCCTTTCTTTGCAAGGAAAACTTATGTAACCTGAAGAAAAAAAGGACAGACATACACTTTAATCTAGAATGTATTATCAGTAGTGGAAAACCCTATGTAATAATATTCATTCCGTGTTCTCCTTAGGCTTAGGTAAAAGACACTTTTGGGGGGCTACTTACATGCTAAAGCTATGGCAGTTCCCTGATGACTCAGTGGTAAAGAACCCGCCTGAAATGCAGGAGATGTGGGTTCAGTCCCTGGGTCGGGAAGATCCCCTGGAGGACATGGCAACCCACTCCAGTATTCTTGCCTGGGAAATCCCAAGGACAGAGGAGCCACAACGAGTTGGACGTGACTGTGCAAGTTGGCATGGAAGCATGGTAGTTCTCCAGAAGACCTAGATTCAGAATACAAGCTTCTGGATTTTCCTGGTGGTGCAGTGGATAAGAATCTGCCTGCCAGTGCAGGGGACATGGGTTCGATCCCCCATCTCGGAAGATCTCACGTGCTGTGGAGCAACTGAGTCCGTGCTCTAGAAGCCACCACAATGAGAAGCCTGCGCACTGCAATGAAGACCCAGCCCAGGCAAAGATAAACAAATAAGAAATTTAAAAAGAAAAAAGAACGTTAAAAAGAAAAGAACATAAGCTCTTTCAGGGGACTGTTAGGAGGGGTGGGTGATGAAGGATGGCTTAAAAGGGGGATAACTAATGTTACCCAGTCATGCTGCTGAATTTAGGTAAGTCAAGGGGAATTTCTATTTCTGGTTCTGAGTTTCTTTTTCTGTGGCATTTAATTTTATTTATCATATCATGGTCATGCAGAATGAAGTCAACTAACCAGTTAAACCTGAGTTTTATAGCCAAGGAGAAGAGGAGGCTTAGGATTGGGTCTCTAAACATGTCCTTAGAGTGGTTATTTGCAGATCTATACAACTCACCGTTTGTAAGGGGCAGTTCTGTACTTTACTGGAACAAAAATCTAGCCTCTTCGTTCAATGACTTCACAGTCCTGTCCCTGACTTTTCTCTTTTACATGCCAACATTTTCTTACCTTAATGATGTCTTTGTTCTAAGCACTACTGATTACTGGGCAAATCGGTTTACCAGCGTTCTCCTGTCTGGGTTTTTATCTATTCCTCATATGAAGTGGAGGAGGACCCTATGGTTCTTTCCTCCCTTCTGCCTTTAGGCTGTGGAAAAATTTTAGCCAAAGAATAAGTTTAATCAGAGAAGTGAGAAAATGCAGAAGCAAAGGAAAATAGTCAACGGAGATCAAATAGTAATAGTTTAGTCATAAGCAGAGTCAAGGACCTTTAGTTCCTTCTCAAGGGCTGTGGACAATATTCTGAGCCATATCCTGTGAGCTGTCTTGTAGAGACTGGAACCCCCACCGAATGGAAGAAACTAACTACATGATGACCAGACTGTAGCCACAACATCAGTTCAGTTCCGTTCAGTCGCTCAGTCGTGTCCGACTCTTTGCAACAAGCTGCCACAATTCTGAGAACTGGCCTCAAAGAAATGGGAACCAACCATGGAACTGAAGATAAACTGTACCTAAAGCAATGAAGACAACGCTGGTCAGACCACCAATGACCAGTTTCAAGGTGACTGTCTGAGCTGATTGTGCTGTTTCTGCATAGTCTGGTTGTTTCTGCATAGTCTGGCTGTTTCTTCTCTTTCTCCCTCTGTCTATAAATGCTCTTGGCCCCCGATTGTCAGTGGGGGTGGGGTGGGGGTGGGCAGAGGGAGTTCAACCCCTCCGCCAGTTGCCAGCATCCAAAATAAAGCAAACTTTCCTTTCCATCAACCTGGCCTCTTTACTGGCTTTTCGAGTTTTGAGCAGCCAGAACCCACTTTCAGTTACAGATACAGTGATATGATATTTAACCAGTTACTAACTGATATTTCACTGTGTTAAGTGCTGGTCAGTCCTAAAACAATTATTATTACCCTGCAACTGGGGATAAATCAGCATTCATTGTAATAGGAGGACCGGAGGGCAGAAGGGTTGTTACAAGGAAAATTGGGACAATTTTATCAGGAAGAATGGCTTCCCTGATAGCTCAGCTGGTGAAGAATCCTTCTGCAATGAGGGAGACCCCGGTTCAATTCCTGGGTCGGGAAGATCCGCTGGAGGAGGTAGGCTACCCCTTCCAGTAGTCTTGGGACTTCCCTTGTGGATCAGCTGGTAAAGAATGCGCCCACAATGTGGGAGACCTGGGTTTGATCCCTGGGTTGGGAAGATGCCCTGGAAGCAGGAAAGTCTGCCCACTCCAGGATTCTGGCCTGGAGAATTCCAGGGACTGTATAGTCCATGGCGTTGCAAAGAGTCAGACAGGACTGAGTGATAAATGCCACATTAGGAAGAATTGGTTGGGAGAAGAATAAATTCTGGGTATGCAACTGGCTGTGTCAAATATACACAGAGGAGAGGAACGGGGAAGGTGATGAGCTGGTGTACCAGATAGTTAGCAAAATTCAGAGAAAGAGAGAGACAGAGAGCCATACATCTCAAAACAGAAAGAGAGAAGGCTTCCCTGGTGGTTCAGTGCTAAAGAATCCACCTGGCAATACAAGGGCCCCGGTTCGATCCCCGGTCGGGGAAGATTCCACTGTATTGAGGCGTGACGACCCCCGTGTGTCACCACCACTGAGCTCGAGCTCTAGGGCCTGCCTGTTGCAACTTCTGAGCCCACGTGCAGAGCCGGGCTCCGCACCGAGAGGAGCGCCTGCCCCGCAACGGAGAGTAGCCCCGCTCGCTGTAACTGGAGAAGGCCCAGGCAGCGGTGGAGACCCAGCGCAGGCCAAGTAAATAAATTAAAATGTCTACACGGAGGAAGGGAACGGAGTGAGATGGTCCACTCTCGTACCAGGTAATTATCAAAATTCAGAGAGAGAAATAGAGACAGGAAGAGACATACATCTCAAAACAGAAACAGATTTCAGAAACTTAAAAAGAAAACTCTCTTAATTTTCCTTCTTTCCCCCACTCATTTGCTCATTTCTTTTCAGGCTGTCAGGAATGGTGACTCCCCTCTGATATTTCAATTTTAGAAAACAAGCATCAGAACCCCAATGAAACCAACATAAAAATTGCCCTTTGCCCATCCATGCTTCATCCTGAAGAATCATGAGTCAGTCTGGAGAGCCGTCCTCGGTCACACCTGGGCAATGATTACTTAGGGTCGTTAGGAGAAAAAGATAACAGGTTTTAAACTCAGCTCCCTTGACAATCCTGTAAATTAATCCACTCTCAAAAGCATTCCAAGCGCACCCCTCCCTAATCACCCACATTAGGTTAGTTGAATGAATGTTGAAAGGGCATAAAATATCTTAGTGTTATTATTCAAATAATTTTGGCCTTACAGATGTGAATTCTGTCAGACAAGATAATGGATAGCAACTCTGGTTTAAATGCTTATTCTGGTTTTTTTAAAAAATGCTTATTCTGACTAGAGATTTTTAAGTTGTATGTGATAAATGTTATTTATAAAAATTAAACTTAAGGGTCTTCCCTGGTGGTCCAGTGGTGAAGGCTCTGTGCTGCTAATGCAGAGGATGCAAATTCAATCCCTGGTCAGGGACAAAGATCCCAAATGCCCTGATGCTATAAAAATTAAAAAAAAAATAAAAGGAGAAGGAAATGGCAACCCACTCCAGTATTCTTGCCTGGAAAAATCCACAGACAGAGGAGTCTGGCGGGCTGAAGTCCATGGGATTACGTGACTGAGCATGTGTGCGCGAGGGTGGAGGGAGATGGGTTGGTAGCAATAAACTGGTAGAACTGAAAAAAAAAATACAATTAAGATGAATAGACATGTATATAAATACATTGCATGTAATCCCATCACCTTTACAGTTTTAAAGTATAGTTGTAAATTTTCTATGAACTCTGGCTTTCACCCAACCCGTCTTAGTAAGAAACTTTCATTCCTCCGTTGGGAAAACAGCTGTTGGCTGCTCACCACACAGCAGGCACTGTTCCAGGTGCTGGAGATACCTTGGGGATGAGACAGCAAACTCCTCTCCCTCAGCGAAAGTCGCTCAGTCGTGTCTGATTCTCCAGGCCAGAATACTGGAGTGGGTAGCCTTTCCCTTCTCCAGGAGATCTTCCCAACCAGGGATCAAACCCAGGACTCCCGCATTTCGGGAGGATTCTTTATCAGCTGAGCCACAAGGGAAGCCCAAGAATTCGGGAGTGGGTAGACTATCCTTTCTGCAGAGGATCTTCCCAACCCAGGAATCCAACCGGGGAGGTCACATTTTGTGGAAGAGGCACATCATAGCCTAGTAATCAGGAAACTAAGCATTTCACACAATTTCACATTCAGTAAGAAGAGGTGTGTACAAGCTTTTGAAGTGTGCTAGAGAAGATTCTTGAGAGTCCCTTGGACTGCAAGGAGATCAAACCAGTGCATCCTAAAGAAAATCAACTCTGAATAATCCTTGGAAGGGCTGATGCTGAAGCTGAAGCTCCAGTACTTTGGTCACCTGATTCGAAGAACTGACTCACTGGAAAAGACCTTGATGCTGGGAAAGATTGAAGGCAAGAAGAGAAGGGGATGACAGAGAATGAGATGCTTGGATGGCATCACCGACTCAATGCACATGAGTTTGAGCAAACTCTGGGAGTTAGTGATGGACAGGGGAGGCCTGGAGTATTGTAGTCCATGGGGTTGCAAAGAGTCATGACTTAGCAACTGAACAGCAGAAACTAACACAACGTCATAAAGCAGCTATACACCAATAAAATTAATTAAAAAAAGAGAAAGAATTCTTCTCCTTAGATACCTCCTTTTCTTCTCCTTCCCTTCATCATAATATCTTGCAAATTCATTAGTTCCTTTTCCCTCCTTAACCACTGACTTCAGTCTCATAACTCCCTGCATCTTCCAAAAAGTCCATTTGAAAGTCACAGTTTTCTTTCTCCTGGCTAAGTTCTTCTTGACTTTATCAAACCCAGGGCTCACTTTTTATAACAGGTATTTTATTTTATACGTCTCTGTGAACCATA